GTGTACCCGCAGCAAAAAACTCTCTTGAAAACGTTACCAATGACAAGGTATCAATGCAATGATGTACTCTAGCAACTCTATAAAACCTGATCACTTGATTAAAAAAAGGAACAAACCCCTCTAAACCAGCAACTTTTGTTCTGAAAATTGCAGCCCATGCTCAGAGAACCTAATTTTGCCTTGTACCATGGGCTCCATCTTCCTCAGTGACAAAGAACAGCACAGCATTCATTGGCACGAGGAGAAACACTCACCTAAACATATTGCTGAAACCCCACAATTGCTAACGCTTCATCCTTACAAATCCTACGTAAAGCCAGCCCCAGCCATCATCAAAGTCAAGGTTTATAGTCATTCCCTGGCATTTTGGAGCAGGTTGTAAGTGAAGAAGCATCGCCCAGCGGCCATCACAAATTCACCTAAGGCTTTGCACCTGGCTCTGGGTCTTTGGGAATGCCTGGAAGGCAGCAGACACTGGGCAGGGAGGCTGAGCTGGAATTTAACTCATGTGAACGTGGGCACTGATACATAAGATCAGGTTGAACAGCTGGAAATAGATTACAGCACTTCCTTGACAGTGAAGCGGCTACAGAAGTCATTTGGACTGTTAAATAAACTGATTGCAGAAAAGCTGCAGGTCTGCCTGCATTGCATTTTTTTTCCTTACACTGGGCCCGATACAAGTTCCCTTGAGTGCAGCAGTAGTTGGACTGGATGAAACGTGGAAGCAAACAGATATTGTTATTGACGGGGAACACAGGCTTGGCTGGCTATTTTTGCATCTAACTGCCTGAAGTGGTGCGAAGAGCTAGATACAGTGGAGTAAAACATTGAAAAGCCTTCCAAATCAGGCTTTTGACTTTTTATAGCCCTATATACATATTTATATATGTATACAAATGGTGGAAAAGCTGAAAAAGTAGCTTTTTAATGGCTCAGTCTTCACAAACCAAATCATACATTGTTTCAGCTACAAAGAGGCACACAGGAGTTTCTCGGTAGTGTTTTCACTTGAAGAGGAGCAGCTGCCCAAGAGACGACTCGCTTGCTACCCTGACAACTCAGAGAAACTTCACTGCCCTGCAAAGGTCTCCCGTTTGCTCCAAGCCCCAACCTGTTCCCGCTGAAGCAAAGGGTAGGAGTCCCACCAGCTTTGGTGGTCAGTCACCGGGGCCTGCAGCGGGAGTCGCGGGTGCCTGTGCGGAGCGAGTCTGATGCCTGACCGCTGTAGGAACTAGGACGGGGGGTCTTTTGGTCCACAGACCTTTACGACCTGCTGGTGAGAGGTTTTCTAAGCCAAGTGTAACAAGAAGCTTTGAGCATGAGGTGCCACAAAATTAAAAACTCTACAACTTCTCTAAGAAAAAGATAGTAGATGGTAGCAGAAAAAGAATATACATCTATACAGTGTGCACACATGTATACACATATACTCCTGTTCCATGCAGAAAGCTTTCTAAGTCAAAACATACAAAAAATAACCAGTGCCATACATTATGTAAACTCACAAGGCGTACTTTCAACACAAATTTGAAGCATAAATTAAAAGAGAGCAAGAGAGAGACAGAGATGATAGCAAAACATTTTAAATATAGAATTTGCACAATTGTTTTTTTTGTTAAATAAGAATAAATAAATTCATTACATCCGTTCACATACCAGTTGTAAAAACAATAAATTATTTTATTTTTTTCAGTGCTGTGTTGCTTTTTTTTTCTTTTTTTTTTTTTTACAATTGTGATTAATCCACAAGATTATTCCCTCTCCCCCTTGTGATAAAACTGTTTCCACAGGAGGGCAGCTCAATTTAATTTCTTGTTTACAGTCAAGCCAAAGATGATTAGGCTTCTTCCTAATGAGAATGCCTCATCTGAAAAGCAGATGCTCTAAAAGCCACCAATGCTTAGGGGTCCAGCTCCAGCTAAGAGCACGGGAGATGTGTCCCAAAAAGTCAGCAGTGAATTTAACACTGAGAACGGTTTCTTCCTATGCAAAGACCAATACTCCGCTCTTCTATCCCCTGGATGTATTTTATGAAACCTGTGTGGCAACACTCGTTAGTAACGTAAACAATGACATAACAGTGTGAGTGACAAGGAATTTAGCTGAGAACAGAATCTGAAATGACAAAGTCATCCTTGCACCAGTTTTTCATTCATCAGTTACATGAGATAGCTGTGCCTGGCAAAAGCAAGGTTTGGAATCGGAGTCTGGGTAGAAGGAACATCCCTAAAGCAAGAGCTAACTAGAGGAGGCTGACAGTTTATCTTAGGCTGCTGGGGTTGCTTCCCTTTGCCCTACAACCATATAAATGCAACTGCTTTTTGCTCATGCTGACTTGCTTCATGACTACACTGGTGAAAAGGGAAAAATCACCACAGTGATTCTCATATTTCTTTCTTTTTTATAAATAAACTCTTTCTATGAAAAAAAGATACTCTTGATCTAAAGAGGCTTTAAATTTATACCCGTGCATGGTATTACCCTTCTGGAGCCTGAACAAAAGCTTTACTCATTCTGTTGAATATATAATAAATTATTACTAGGATGAAAACACAAATACTTGCACATTCTGTTTCTGTCATGATAAAACACAGGAAAAACAAATGCCACTTAATACGGCAGCTGTATGCTGAGGCAAATATTGTCTATGCTGAGAGACATTAAGTCTCCTTATTTTTCCTCTCATGATGGTTTCTATTTGTTACAGACTTTTTTGAGAGGTTCTAGAACATGTGTAATACACATAGAAATATAAAAATTAGGTTACTTGAAAGGAAAATTAAGACACTTCAAAAGGATCTTATGTTAATAGGCAGAGAAGGCATAAATCTTAACTTTCCAAATCTCTGTAAATATTCAGTTCTTAGGGTGGGATCACAGATTAAGTGGGGAATTTTCCTCAAGATCCACACTTTTGCATAGGACTACTCCTAATAAGAAGGCCACACCATGTTTGAAAGCTGAAGATGACTAGCAACATTCACTGGTAATTCATTTTGACAGACGAGGCCCTGCCCCTATTACTGTTTATTTAGAACAGGTTACAAAACCAGATAATTCGCCAGGTTTCATACTTGTAGATGTAGCAATGCTTTGCTGTTTCGAAATCATCACATGCTTTCTAAGAGTTCATACAAACATGCCACAGTTGCAAAAACATGTTTGTGTCAGTCTGGAGCAAGACCTGCCCTTCTTGCTACACATATCAACACGTTTTCTCTGCTGATTCCATGACTGGGGTTTTCAGAAGAGCCTGGGGTATTTCAGTGCTTGAGTACCACTGACTTACAGCTGTGAGGCTCGTCTGAAAATCCTCCTGCAGTCTCATACTCTCTGTGGATGAACGGAGGAATAAAAGACAGATGGGTTTCTATTTTCATCAGCATATTATAACCATTTCTTTTGGTACCTGTTATTTTAGGGCTTACTCCAGAGCCTGCTGATGTAAAAGGAAGCAATTTTAAGAGGGTTGCTATCAGGCCTCCACCTGTTACCTGCATAAGGTGAAATGTCCATCCTTGGTGACAGCATTTCTGCCAGACAATAAGGGGATTCAGAAGTTGCTGCCAATGAAAATTACTACCAGCTACTGCCTGCACTGTGGAAACAGTCTTATTGATACTGGGAAAGCCCTCCACATCCTGATGTGGTTTGACTTCCTAGGGACCCCTCTTCCTCCCAGATGTGGTAGATATACAAAACATGAATGCCTTCTATAGCTTTAAAAATAAGAACCCAAAACACACACAAAACAATCAAATAAAGACAAATAGTTACAAACTTTTGCTGGTAAGATGAATACCAGAGTTAGACATGATGGACAAAACAGTGATAAAATATTAACTGCTTGCTGTGTTTTTTGACCTTTATAGCCTCTTCAGAAGATGTAGGTACATTACACATTGTTAGATTCAAGGTGGAAGCCATAGAGAAAATAACAGAGAAAGCAGTTGAACACAGCCTCAGAATATCTGAGTTAGAAGACACTTGAATTATCTTACCTGTAATTTTTGGTTCTTTAACTAGTTTCTACAAAATACAGTATGCCTTTCTTTTATGGAAAGAAGAAGCTAGCAGCTCTTGTTCATCGACAAGGACCCCAAGCTGTCACACAGCTGGAACTGGTGGAAGGTTTACAAGCAAAGCATACACAAATTCCTTCTAGCAGCCAAATCCTCCTCCTGTGCGCGTCTGACATAGGCGCGGTGAGGAGCCGCTGGTGGTGCTGGTATTTGAGCAATGTACATGTCGGGGGAGGATCCCTGGTCTGCAAGCTGCTGCAAGTGCTCCTTCTGAGAATTTCTTGGTGGAAACACAGTATTTGTCATAGAATAATGATGGGCTGTCAGGAAATCCCTAGCATGAAAATGTTTCCTTTTGTCAAAACCAAAAGGTATTACTTTTTAAGACCAGCAGCAAGCTCTTCATTTTCCAGTAAAACATCTGCGGCCCTCTCTGAAGAGTGGAGCGAGTCCACAAGGCTGCAGATATACTTTGGTCAATCACTCTGCTTATGGAGCTTGTCTTTTGATTTTTTAATAGAACCAAGTAATATAAAGTGACATGCCAAATGAAAGATATTTACAAAACAGTATAAAATAAGCTACTGTGGTATCATGGGTCCAGGTGACGTTTTCTAAGGACATACTGTATTAGAGGTAGGTGAAAAAGGGGAGATGATTCTGTAACCTTCAAATATCCCAGGATCCTCCATTCACTAGTTTTTCTTCTTTTGCATTATTTTATTTTATATTTTTGCAGACACAGAGGGCTTATAACAACTTTAACGCTTAGTTTTTTGACATATTAAGATCACCCTACTATTATTTAAAGCAGTGCACATCTTCATTTGGTCCAAATAGGCAGATTCTGCCCGTAATTTGAGACTGTATGTAAGTATATTGAAGCCTTTGCTTCTCTCTGTCTGGGCAGACCTAATACCAGTATGTCAACAATGGCTTAATCAAACCTCTTTTAAAGAAGATCACCACCACAGGTTAACACTTTTTCAACAAGCACTGTTTAAATGCTGACGGTCTCTGAGAGAGAAGACATCCCTTAGCTAGTTTTCCGTGCCCGTCTTTGCACTGGACAGTCCTGGTGTGCCATCCTGTGTCGCACGTTCGAGAACAAGAAAGCCATGGCCCCGTAACCCAGCGGGGTTGCGTGAGCTGTGGAGCTCCTCTGCTGCTGCTGCTGCTGCTGCCACTGCTGGTGATGGAGTTAGTAATTTGCCCTTGCTTCTTCGGCACGAAGAAACTATAGCGGACATCCACTGGCTGAGTTGGATCCGTCGCAAGTATCTGCACAATAAGAACCTCTTTTGTGGCCGAGTGTCCCATGGCGTGCAAGAAATCGTCTTTGTGACTCCAGCCGCTGTAGTTCATGACAGTCCCATTGATGTCAATGATGGTTTCTGAAGTGGAGATCATGTACTTCCCATTGACAAGGTACTCACCGTTTTTCTTCTTCAGGGCCAGGTAGGCAGTGAATCTGCTCTGGTCTTTAGTCTTGAACTGCCGAACTTTGATGTGGGTTGCTCCTTCTGGGATTTTCACTATATCTGTGTAGCCCTTGCTGAATGAGGGGAAAAAAAACCCCAAGAGTATTCAGTAGCTGGTGGGAAATAAGCCTCAAGTCTTACTGCAAAGTCTAATGAGGACACGGGCATGACACATTTTGCTTTGCTTTAGTTCAGGCCCTGAATCCATCTGGCTTGAGGCTCATCTAAGATTAATTTAACCAGGTTCCACAGTTTGTCTACTGTACTTTTCTTTATGTTCTTAAAGAAATTTCTACCGCATTTACTTCAAATTGCCTAATCTTTAGCTTTAGTAATGATTTTATGTGAGTCAGACACAAGAGCAATGAAAAATAACAGATAGCTCATATATTTCAGCAAAGGGTGGGATATATGAAATACGATGCATGCTTTGCCTGCCAAGGAAAGATAATGAGACATGCATTGGTTACAGCTGTTTCTTGCTGTCTTTGCTGTAACGATGATTAAGGAAAGCATGAGCAGAGTTAGCAGCTGGATAGAGGTACCTTGGGAACATTTAAAAATAATCTTGATTATTGAAAAAAAATTTTGTTTACTTTGAAATTCATAAAGCCACAGATTAATTGTCAAGTGTCCAATATGAGCTGTACCCAAATGTTTAATTTGTACCATCAGAGTCCTCTCAGTTGCTACTTATGAAGTTTCTCAATTCAGATTTAGAAAAGGATGTTTAACTCTTCTACCGCAAGTGACCAGCCTTCAAAATCTGCAGGTGTGCTGGAACGTATCACTGTCGCGAGTATGTCATTTATTTTAATCTTAACTGATACATAGAAAAATCTCATGACTATACATGGCTACGAGCTACCAGCTGGACTTCGGAGACATGAGTTTCCATTTCTAAACCTGTGACAAAACCATCCGGCAAGTATCTCATATCTGAAAAATGTAGTGCTGAAACTTCTAGAACTAAGGGATTGAGAAAATATATTAAAAATATATAAAAGTGAAGGGGTCTCGCTTGCGATCGTTTAAAGAACAGACTGATAACTTCGAGAATTTTTGGCTGCACAAGCAGACACTGCACAGACTACAGATTAAACGCTGTGCCATTTCTCTGCTGTTTCCAACAGTTACGGGACAATGACTAAAAGTATTGATTTAGCACCTCCATCAACCTGAGGGAATACGGTGCGAAAAACAGGCTGCTGGGACTCTGCTCTACAGCACTGCACAAATATTTTTACATAACAGTTGCCAAGATAACTTTGTTAAAACATGTTATCAAAGCCACAAAATCGTTTGTTGAAAAAGGAAAAGCAATTCCTGTCGCCTGCACAAAGAACTGTAACATTCCACAGGCACAAAGAAGCACTTGCAGCCTTAAGTCTCCTGTTTCCCAACTTCTGACTATTTGATATTACAGCCTTTTAAAAGAGTTCTGAGGAAACGAGTTTTCTCTAAGATCATGTTTTGACTGCTTTAAAAGAGAAAAGTACAGACCAATGTTGTTACGGCAACTGCAATGGGAAATACTAGTTTCCCCTTGTACGTTTAATAGTTTCTCTGTACATTTAATGTACAGGTTGCTGGAGTTGGGTTTGTCATGAAGAGCAGTGCAGGAGCTGCTGGTTTTCATTGGGGGAAAGTAAGTGTTACGGCATCCACTGCCCTCTCATAGGTGAAAGCAGTCTACAGACAATTAAGATTTCACTATGGTAATGAGAGGTTTATCTTAAAGTCAATTATTCACATGAGGGAATTGTCTCAAACAATATTTCCAGTAAAAATAAGTCCTTGTCACCCCAAAATTCAATCAAAATCAAGTTAGAACATACCTGTTGCTTACAGGTTAACTATTACTTTCTAAATGGGACAGGTTTTTGAATGCATTGAGTTGGGTTAATATTTTACTCTCTGACCAGTCTCATTTCTGTTAAAGGCATGATCGGAGGTGTAAGATGGTAACTTCATAGGCATCATTTTAATAGAAACTCACCATTTCCATGTGTATCTATGCTAAAAATCCAGTCTCACTGAAATTCACAGAGTCCTTTCAACATTTTTGCTGGTCTGGATTCCAGCACAAGGATCATTACTGAATCCCATGAAGTGTATCTCACACTGTCGTCTTCATTTAGACATCCCAGACATTTCAACGTTTACAAATTGGACAACATTTGGTTTATATAATTACTAATTTGGATGGAAACTAATTCTTTTTGGCAGAGACACTTTGGCATCCTTAGATGAGTAATCATTGGTTTACCAGGAAGAAGATTAGTTATGTTTAGTTTTAGAATAAATTCACTCTCAAAGCCACTTTTGACTGCTATTGATCAATATGCTGAAATGTATAGAAATAAAAGGTTGTTTCAGGAGTCAGATTTCAACTTCTGGTAGCTTTCAGTATACTATGTAAGAATTTGGAAGAGAGAAACCAAAATCCAGTTACGTACATTTGAAAAGATGGTACACTAATGCAGTCACAGACACTGAATAGAAATTATCTACTCTTAGAAACTTTCAGTGGACGACAACAGCAGTCCTGTGAGAGCTTAGTATCTATATAAATGATGATTAAAAATCCTAATTTTTCTCTAATCATAGAATCATAGAATGGTTAGGGTTGGAAGGGACCTTAAAGATCATCTAGTTCCAACCCTCCTGCCATGGGGGGGAATCTTAATAATTGAAGGAGGGAAACGAGTTCAGACAGAAGGAAGACTTACTTGATATTTGTATATCAGTACAAAGCTTATAGATGCCCTCAGTGTGGTCAGGGAAAACCACAGGGGCGATTCCTTTTATTGTATTAAATCTTACTATAGTTAAAAGCTAAACTCGGACAGGAAAATGTCTTACGGATAACTCCTATAAATATTTTGATTTAAACAAAAAATCCATCTGGAGATTGATATTATGCCAATGGACATGAAGGGATAGAGCAAGTGCTACGTTCAAACCTGTGTTTGCTTCTGTCATCTCATCTAGCCATCTAAGCTCCACATACACTCAGCAGCGTGAAAAGTATTTTTAGGGTATAATCCCTCTCAGCTATTAAGGAAGACTTTTACAGCTGTGCTCTAATGCTGTCTGCTTCTTTCCACCAACTACACAAGCAATCCGTGTCACTAAATCAGGTGGGATGTCCTCATTGTCACTGCAAGCTAGATGAGATGTTCTCAGCACGTCACTTGCTAACAGCATCGTCTGGGAAACGCAGAGTTTCAGAGATACCCAGATTATTCTAACCCCAACCACTTTCTGATTCACTCCTCTCTCCTCTAGAAAACACGAGCCATCTGACACAGCAAGACTAGCAGGTAGCACAAGATGCTGTCCCTTATTTTAGGCAGACTTCCTATTAATGGGGCGCTCACCTTTATCGCTGGCACTGGGTGTCAGAAACGAACTGGGTACACTGTTTTGCCAGTAGATTATTTGCCAGTTTTGGGGTAATGTTAAGAGGCCAGCTGTAAACATCTGGAAAGTGCAATAAAGCACACACAATACACTTTTTTTGCTCAATCTTCACGTGAGAGTAAATTGCATTTAGAGACAGAAAGCAAGCAAGCACATAGCAGAGTCACTATGAGCAGAGTAAGATACGTTTACGAATATTCAAGATCAATACCTCTTTTTGGTAAAGGTTCCCATGACTTTTGTGCAGCTGGAATTGTCTCCTCCACACACCCCACATTTGTCATACTGGAGCTTTGACCCGATGATGCCGTCGCAACCGGTCCGGATGCATTTTCCCCGGACGCAGACTGAATTACTGTACGGTCGACATTCGGTGCCATCAGTTACCTAGGCAATCAAATGGCCGTTAGTTAAAACTATCATGGAAAAGGTTTGCTTCTGTGAATCCGACTGGCAAACCTCAGTTACTCACTTATGTCACCCTTGCAGAACAGAGGGCCTACCCTGACGGCCCAGACTCAGTTTCTCTAACAGTCCCAGCACAAAGGCAGGTGAAATTTAGCCAAGTGTTGAACACAACAACAGGTAACTCCACCATAAGACACGAAAATGTCCCTGGCTTTAATGAGGATCTCACAGCTTATTAATATAACAGTAACAGTACTGGTAGATAGCCTTGCATCTGAGCTATCTACATCTATACGTTACCTTCACAACATGGGCAGAAAACTGCAAGTATAAGCATGGGAGACATTTCAGTTCGAATTGCCTCGAATATAACAAACTGACCACAAGTCACAGGTATATTAACTGGTTAATTATTCTATATTAATTGGCTCCATAAGAGTTGCTCTGAGCTCCCTTAATAGAATCCAGGGTAAAATGTATTCTTCTACTCACAGTACTCTTTCTCCTCCAGAAAACCCCAGAATGACAGATGACTCTCCAGGCAGAAACCCCATTATCCACTAATGAAAACAAACTAGTGCAGAGTGCACAGAGACGCCCATATTTTTCATGAATCCACATGGAAAAACTTATTTCAGAGGCCAACGCTGATCTTAATGTACAACCGATGGATCAAACCATTAAATCTAATCACACAGTTAAATCTTGGAATCACATGATTAACTTCTTTTCCCTTTGTTGTAGGGAATGATCTCTAAGAAACAGGACAAGCCGGAGCATGAAATCATGGCTCAGTTAAATCTTGGAATCACATGATTAACTTCTTTTCCCTTTGTTGTAGGGAATGATCTCTATGAAATCATGGCTGGAAAAGCCGTTACCTTCTGAGAAAATACCACATAATAGCCGGTTCCTTTGGCTCGGCAGGTGAGCTTGCAAACGTCTCCAGGAAGTACTCCAGCATACTTGGGGACCCATTCCACAAATGTCTTGATACCCTTTGCGTCAGACTGATAGCCGTTCCTTGCTTCACACTGCTCTTGTCGAAAAGATTTAGCTGTAAAATTATACACACCATTAGTGACCATTTCAGACCATGCTACAAATATCACTATGCCCACTGACTGTTCCAATTGTTTTTTTACATAATTTTTAAGTTACATCACTTCACCTTAGAACTGGCCTACAAATCCTTTAAATGTTTTAGCCTGGAAACCTTCCCATGACATAAGCATTGAAGTACTAAATTTTGCATTACGATTCATTTTTCAGGACTGAAATTTCTTTTAATTCGAGTGTCCTTTCTGTATGGTGTCAGGCTGAGGATGGGGGAAGAATTACAGTATTGTATTAATGATGAATGTCTTGCCTTGAAGGAATTTTGAAGAAACTACAAGGGACCCCTGTTGTTTTCTTTCACAGCAGATATTCAATATTTACATAGAGGCTGGAGCACGAAGGCACGTACCATTTGCTGGGCAGGGCGTGACGTTGCAGGAGCGGTAGATGGCCCTCTTGCCAGTGCAGTACCGGCCGTTGTTCCTAGGAGCTGGGTTATTGCAGTGACGATAAGCAAACTGAACTCCTCCACCACAGGTACGGGAGCACTGCCCCCAAGGTCCCCAGGAGCCCCAGTTACCATGGCTTGAAGCCTGAAACATATGGAACAGTGTAAGGTAAGGACATCATCCACATGTGCTACATCTCAAAGACACTGCTGTTGTTTTCCTCAACTGAAGGCACTTCCTTGGTCATTTTAATCAGGGATAAAAGGCCTTAGGAGCCTTCTTTCTCCCAGTGGACTTAATTTCTGTCTTTTGTCTGCACATTGATGACATCTCACTTGGCACTGTCCATGCAAAGGGAATACTAGGCCTTGCTGTGCGCAGCCAACTTCAGCCTGTTTCATGGAGGACACACATGTACCAAAAGGAGTGTCCATAGTCCCACGTGCTGCTCTCTTTTTTCTGCTGTCCCAATAGGCTCCCTTATACTAGTTCCAGGGGATTCGGCTGCCAGGATGCATTCACAAGGCTAATCTATGATTAATTAAATGCAATTACTGTGATGTGTAGGTATTGCTCTGAATTACTGGCAAGAGATGGAGTTGTCAGATACAGTTTGCAACTCTAATTTGGCTCCCTAAGAAGAGTATTGCACCAACTTACTGGTATTGCATGAAGAAGCATATAATACTATAAAAAAGGGTGTCAGAAGGGCTGTAGCTTGGTATGAATGAGTCTCCCAGTTTATAGTATCTTCACAAAGCTCTACCAGTCCATACGTCGTCTCCTGTGCATGTAACAGAAGGGGCAGTGCTACTGTCTACCCAGTAAATTCAGAAGTATCTGAACTGTGCAGTTGACAGTTCTCAAGAGCCTGGAGATTCTTCTGGTGTATAAAGATGACAGAGGAGACTCTGTCACTGAAGGTACGAACTTTTCTGCTCCAGAAATTATTACTGGATAAGTTCATTGGTCTTTCTCTTCACTAGACTCAGGGCCCTGGGGACTACTGGATAAGGGCTTTAAATTAAATTTAAAGAATTAATTTGTCTTGAAGTCCATTGCCAAGAAGTCAGGAAGCTATGAATAGGTTCTTGACAATCTGTCTGTATGTCCTGAGACCTGACTTACTGAATGGGCAAATCCCCCACTCTGAAGGTATGCTCCTAATTTTCCAGGAATGAAGACTTTCATACTTATAATCATAGAATCTTTTAGGTTGGAAAAGACCTTTAAGATTATCAAGTCCAACTGTTAAGCTAATACTACGAAGTCCACCACTAAACCATGTCCTTAAGCACCTCGTCCATGTCTCTTAAATACCTTCAGAGATGGTGACAACCACTTCCCATTCCAATGCCTGACAACCCTCTTGGTGAAGATATTTTTCTAATATTGAATCTAAACCTCCCCTGGTGCAACTTGAGGCCATTTCCTCTCATCCTAGTACTCGTCACTTGGGAGAAGGGACCAACCCCCACCTCTCTGCTCCCTGCTTTCAGTTAGCTGCAGAGAGCGATAAGGTCTCCCCTGAGCCTCCTCTTCTCCAGGCTAAAGAGCCACCGCCCCCCACCGGTGCTGTGCTCCAGACCCTTCCCCAGCTCCGCTGCCCTGCTCTGGACACAGTGCATCACCTCAGTGTCCTTGTAGTGAGGGGCCCAAAACACTGAACACAGTATTCGAGGTGTGGCCTCATCAGTGCTTAGTACAGGGGGACAATCCCTTCCCTACTCCTGCCAGCTGCACTGTTCCTGATGCAGGCCAGGAAGCTGCTGGCTTTCTTTGCCAACTGGGCACACCGCTGGCTCATATTCAGCTGGTGGTTGACCAACATCCCCACATGCTGAACATCATAGAGTTGGCCTCTTCCCATCGATCCAGCCTGTCCAGATGCCTCTGTAGACCCTTCCCTACCCTCAGGCAGATCAACACTCCCACCCAACCTGGTGTCATCTGCAAACTCACTGAGGGTGCACTTGATCCCCTTGTCCAGGTCATTGCTAAAGATAATTGAAGAGATCTGGTCCCAGTACTGGCCCTGGGGAATGCCACCTGTGATCGGCTGCCAACTGGATTTAACTCCATTCACCAACACTCTTTGGGCTCAGCCATCCAGCCGGTATTTTTACCCAGTGAAAAGTAGACCCATCCAAGCCATGAGCAGCCAGTTCCTCCACGAGAATGCTGTGGGAAATGGTGTTAAAGGCTTTACCAAATTCTAGGCAAACTATATCCACAGCCTTTCCCTCTTCCACTAAGTGGGTCAAGATAAAAAAACACTTCAAGAAAACTACTTCAAGAGTAAAATATGCTTCCTGAAACTCAGCAGCATTTTTCCTATATCCCTCACCAATAAGACTCCAATTACACACTAAAAAAAATAAGGCAGCTTTAAATCCAACTTCCATGAGGTCTGTTTCACTCTCACAAAAATCAGCACCTTTGAAGATCATGCCTTCTAGAATTTCCTAGGGTCACAGCTGGTAACTTACTGAGTAGTATTTCTTCTTGGTTTTGTCAACACATTTTCCCTGGAGACAGATCCTCCCTTTTCCACATGGCGTTCCCTCCACAGCAGGGAGCTTCTTAGTCAGACAAACCATCTGACCTTGGCGCACAACTGCACACCAAAGGCGGGAGCAGACATCCATACCGGGACACACTGTGTATTCGGGTCCAAACGCCAGTTTGCACTGACGAATGGCATCGTAGGTTTGCCCCGGAAGCTCCTCAGGGCCCAGGATCTGCTTTCTTGGTTGGTCCAGCAAACAGTTACCTAAAAGAGCAAGCCAACCTATCGTTACTCATTTCCTAGGTTTCTCTGCAGTCTTGCAAATCTTTCATTCAAGTTAGGTAGGCCAACAGTGACAGCAAAACACATTCAAAGGATGCTCTCTGAGGTGTCATCAGGTTTTGGACAAGGCCATACTATTGCAACTGTTCACACCCAGCAGCATACCAGGTGTTGAGCCATCTATTTCCAATCTAAGGGTGTAAATGAGTTTTACTCAGGTCTCTTTGGCCTTTCATTCTGGTTTTATTTCAATTGATTCTGAACACATTCCACTCTATTTATCAATGTGTGATTAAAGGAAGGATCAAGACTCATGGCAAAGTAACCAAAGTTGTCATCTGAATTTTGAGACAGAACATCAGAAATGGTAAAGCTTCTACAGGGATTCCCGAAAAATCACAAAAACCAGACTTGTAGCCAATGAGGCACTCAAAAGAAAAAAAAAATAACAATCCAACAGATCAAAGGAAACATATAAGCTGCATATCAAAACTAATGTTGGCAGTAAATCTGGACTGGGCTTTCCTTGTAAGAAATGATACTTGGCTGCTTATGGCATTAGTTTGAAGAGGGCTCTCCATTTTATATAAAAATATATAACAGAAAGAAAGGAAAAAATAGCATTTACATAAAGAATTGAATATGTGTTTTGAGATATATTGCAGAGGTCAAGATTCGTCTGGCACACTCTAAACATGAGCATTCACATTTAAGTTCTAGAGAATCTACTGATAGATTTTTTTTTTTACTATTGAAAAACTTACTTGTTGACATGCAGAACTCTTTATTCAGTGTATCCTCTTTTACACTTCATGAAAGGGATATGTGGTCTGGGCAGGCTTCACTTAACCTTGGCCAAAATAACTTACCACAATTTACCTCAATTTGGAACCTACACCAGTGTCCTTCAGTTGGATCGTGGGTGAAAAAAGTCTATCTATAAAATCCTCATTGTTTACACAGAAACGGAATAGAATTTCAAGCTATGGCAGTGAATTTAAACAAGCCAAATACCCCATCGCTCAATGGCTTGTGTTTTCCTCCAGAACACACACTTACTGCAGCTGTTTGTTTTTTCCTCTAAAGACTAAGGCCAATTAGCCAAATCAGCCAAAAACTCTTTCTGCATCATCACTTACTACCAAAAAAACTGTTCCATTTGTCCTTTGCTGACCCCGATTTACCCTAGCCTTATCTTTAATCTGGATGATGCTGACTTCTAAAATGAAGACAAGGTGTGCCAATGCTAACTGATGAGCTGAGTGCCATGAGACAACAATAATTTAAAATTACCCGAGCATTCAAAGCCTGTTGTAGTGTAAATTGTAAAGTCAAGGTGAAGAATGAGGAAGCACAGATTTTTTTTTTTTGGGGGTGGAGGCGGTGGGGGAGCATTTCTGAGGAGGACATCACTGGCAAAAACTGATGTCAAAAAACACTCTTTAAAACCAAAGAACAGTGGAAGTCCTACTTCATACACTGTGTGATGAGGGAGGATGCTAGTCCAGTGTTAGGGCAGTGATGGGAAGGCTCTAGCGTGCCAACATTTAGTGGTGTACACCACTATTACGTATGTATATATATATACACACTGCAATGTTTATCAAATGCCCAAGTGCAACCATTATTCTATATTTTAAAACATTGTAATAACAGATAATTTCACCATGACAGACACTGCTGCCCATCACTGAGATCTACCGTGACTGACATGGCTGGAAATATAAATTCAGAGAACAAGGGGAAAAAAAAAAGTCACATCCTTGCACATACTTGATTTGTCAACCACTTTCGTGAACTCCCATCTGAATATCTTTTGCATGTGAGTAACAAACAGGTTTCACAAGCTCACATAGTGCATATAGCATTTTTTCCCTTTCAGAATACAGATTAATGAGATCCAAAGTTCTCCTCAACTGATACTGCTCTGAGGAAACACATGCAATGTCTATAAAGCCAGGTGTTCCAGCTGATCTCACATGATAAACTTGAAACTATATTTATCAGTCCCCTAAGGCTTCCCCACAGAAAAAAAAAGAAAGAAAAAATCTTTACATTTATAGGTAGTAGCAGTGGTAATTTATGTTTAGAGAGGTTGCCATGAAGTGCAGGTTTTTTTTCACCAGCAGCTGGTCCAACCTCCTACTTGTAATGGTCAGAAAAGACGGAGTTAAGAAGTTGGAGAACGGTTTGCCCTGGCCCCCCTGGTTGAGAGGAGAAGAGAGTGCTTCCATTCACTACATCACACTGCAACACACAAAGCATGTAAATACTGTTATTCCCATTTTTTGTCCTGAGTATCAAAGAACATCTGTGTGCCCTGGAACAGAGCACCATTGTTGTCTGACAGCAGTGTTAATTAAGCCATCTCATTATCTCTCCTCAACGTTATATGCAATCTATCTAGGGGAATAAAGGCAGAATTAGATCTGTGCAGGAAGCAGATAACCAGGATATAAATTAATTAAAATGGAAGTAGTCCTGGTTTCAGGTTGCACAGAGCACTGAGAACTCTGACAAACACAATAAATCGCAAGCAATCACACCACAGCCTAGTGGTTGGCATGACAATAAAGGCAATTATACCTTAGGAGAGGGTTGGCTAAAAGCAGATGGACATAAATGTCACTGTCTTTTGGACACCAACTCAGCCTTTTCTTCCTAAATGTCAAACTACTGTCTGGGGTCATCTCATGAGTGTAAAACAAGTGGTGATATCATGACAATGATGTTTATAGTTCTCAGAGTGGGCCTCAGGAGGCAGGGAATCAGCACCTTGATCCTCCCCAGACCTCCTGGGTGACCCTGGACAAGACATTTGTATTGGGATTTATTTATCTGACTTTAACTGTATGTAATGCTGGTGCCTGCCATGCAGTCAGCTGTCAGATGTTTCACTACTCAGGCAAACTAGTTTATGGTGTAATTCAGCACCATTAATGCAACTCATGAGGTCAGTCAAACCCCTGATGCCATTGATTAGACCCTCTGTACTATGATGGGAACTTAAATTTAGGAGTAGCTACCTACATAGTGAACACCCACGTTTTATGAGTCTGCTCTCCAACACTGCTTTCCAAATTTAGAAAATAGGAACATCAGTACTTGAAATTAAGTGATGTTAAGGAATTAGAGTCAAGACTGTGATGTTTGCTGTTACAGCAGTATGGGGTGAACATCTAAATCTACAGGGGAAACTTACTTAAAGCTTTGATAGGACACTGTCTAGATTTTTGCCGAACACTGCTCACAGATCCAAACTTCTGGACTTCATTCACATTTCATTAGGCTCAGCCATAAGGAGCAGCAGATGATGCACTGTATTTATCTCCCCACACCAATGCTGCTAGGCCCTGTTTGTCACAAAGCCCAGTTTATACACTCACGCTTACTCAGACCAAAAGCCCTGGTGCAAACTGCTTATGCTGCCCATTAGAGAATGGAAGAGTCTCCTCTTGTTCAGTGTTTCCCACATAAGCTTCCTGTGACTATGCAAAACCTGCTCACAAACTTCCTAAAAGAAAGCCTGCCATATGAATATCTGTATTTTTTCATTGTAACTGCTATTTTGTGCCTTCCTCATCAACATTATGCCTGCAGCATTGCTCAAAATCACACCTGGATGGTAAAGGTTTTTTTTCTCTGCCTAGCAGCACTTGAAAGAGAGAGGATTTTTTTCTTTCTGTGGGAAGACTGCAGGGGAGCACCTTCTTGAAAACAAAAAGGGAAGGAAAACACTGCAACTACACAACAGTGTATCTGTCCCAGCTAAGGAAAAAAACGAGCAACCCAAAAAGCAGACACATGCTTATTCTGAGGGAAACATGGAAATATGGCACGTTTGTGCTGTCTTATTATCAGTCTAAAGCAATCTGAAAGGCAGCGTCATGCTCTAGGAGGATCCTGTGGTTTCTGGTACATTCAACGTACATCACTAATGGGAATTATGGAGCTATGGATTCATTCACTGAGTGGAAGAAGAAAATAAAACCAGAAGTTCCCTTCCTAAAATAACACATGTCCTTTCAGCACAGTAATTTGAAGAAACTACAATTTAAACCACTGACTTCATTTTCACTTCACAGAATTACTTCACAGTGTTTGTGTTATGTTCAGACAAATCTTGGATTTAAGATAAGTAACTGAAAAACTATAAACTTAACAGAAAAGGAAGACTTACTTAGAAAAGGTCTCTGAAGGCCTGATCTATCAAAAAACCCCATATTCCTTAAACACTGTATATTTGAAATCACACCAATAGCACCAGTAATAAAATTAATTCCCAGAGGACTATGGACGAGAGGTTCAAATTTTCTGTGAATTACTTCATCACACAGATAACTCTTCGAGACTATGCGTCTGAGTGATAACTGCTCATGAGTTTTAGAAAGGGCAATGTACCCTAAGCTATCCATTAACAGACTGACTGATCCTAAGCCCTTTACATGCAGCAAAGAATACATGACCATGAAAAGTGTCAGCAGTTAAGGACTGCTAAACTTTTTGCACAGGGAAACAGCACTCATGCTGAACAAGGAGACCATAATGCAGCTCTGAAGCACCTGAAGCTTCTACCTGCTTTTACTAGAAAAAAAAATGGCAGAGTTATATTCTTAGACCTATAGGACTGGCTGTTACAGCCCCTACCTACTTCCACATTGAGACTGGGTCCAGCTCATGGGTAAGGGTCCAAATTTCAAGCATCTCCCCAGGTACAAACAAGCCAAAGGTGAGCTGGGTGGCAGAAATACTCGCTTTGTTTTCTTTATTGTTGGAGAATGTAGCTAGCTGGATACACGGTAAAGAGAGTAAGTCAGGTCACAAAAAAGGGAAAAAAAATGAGAATCACTTTTCTACTGGCCTGCAGCAGGAGAGGAACAGAAGAAGAAACATAGTTCAGAGTTCCTGGGGCTTTCTAACAGGTCATGGATGGTGAGGTAGGTCCCTTTTACTACCCCAGTGAACTGTACTGTGCCGTACCTCGGTAACTAAATTCAAAAAGGAAAGTTCTCTTCATATGTGGAAACTAACTGGGTAATATTAAGTCAATGCCAAAGCAATATGGACCATAAAACAAGACAGTACAGATTAATGGATCTAATAAAATTGAGAGAAGAAGTGAAGTAATTCTCCAATAGAGGAAAACGGGAGAAAATATTTCAGAGAACTGAAATTAGCCGACAAAATATTAAAAAGCAAACCCCCCTTTACATTCAGCAGACATACCATACTTTTTATCCATAAGCATTTCAGTTACCATAACAACTTGATCCATTCACGCAATTATGTCATTTTTATCTCAGCATTTTGGAATTTGAATGGTTTGTTTAAGAACTGCAGTTGCTTTGGGAGCACAATGAAGACTTTAAAATACATTAAAGAGTGAAGACTATGCGTTTTATTACTACTTCTGGAAAATGAAAGTTTTGCACTTATTCTCCAAAGGGTAAGTGACATACTTAACAAATATTAGTTACATGACTTGGAAGGTAAGCTCCTGGGGCAGAAGTAATCTTTTACCATATACAGCACAGAGGAGTCTTAACTCTTGCTCACAGCCCCTCTAGATAATAAATACAATGTCATTATAAATGCAGTAAGTATAATGGCATTATAAACATAATAAATGTTGTTAATGGTATGAAGAACACATACACTCTGCTCCTAACTAAGTAGACCATATCACCCATTTTCATTTCTGTGAGGAAAAAGTCAGGTTCTTGCGTCTTCTGTTTAAAGTACTCTCTGAGTTCTTATCTGTGGCATTTGGGAAGACAAGACTAATTTCATGCTTTAAAAAAACCTCTCCATGTTCCAAACCAAATTACTGCCCACACACTCCACCAACTCTTTCTTTTCTCTTGCATTTGAACCATGCAAAGGGAGGGTGAGACTGTCAGTCTTTTAGACATTTGCCTTGTTTCAAAAGCACTTCCAAGACAGTCATGAAGATGAGCAAGGAATGAAAAAGCTGGCATAAAATGTTCTTACCCGAAAAAGTAGATCACAGTAAAAGCTAACATGTAGCTGACACAAGGTGTGATTCTACATACCGTGACCATCATCGAAAAACTCTGTTATAGTTGCTGAAGTGCATTTGGACCAGGGTTTTGAAGCATCGATGCTAGTCAGAATGGAGGACATCAGGCGTTTATCTTCCATGGAGCCAAAGTTCTCCTCACAAAATTTGGAGTCATCGTGGGAAAGCCCAAGCAAGTGCCCTATAGAAATTAAACAAATAAATGCAATGATATGACCATCCATAACAGAGTTGACCAGGTGGAGCTCACAGTCAAGGTAAAATGGACCGTGTAATTCCTTCTAAAATTCTGAACGACAGCCCAAAGCAGGCCACCTGAAATGTGGTACCTCTGCTTGAAGACAAAAAAGCTGTGACAGTTTACACCATTACCTACAGCAAGGAAGTAATGCTATCAGCTGACATGTCATCGAACTGTGCTAACTGAAACCTGATGAGGACTAATGTGAACACTACTCATTAATGTCAACATTTTAGTTCTTAAATGTTTTTTTCAAATAATCTTCGGCAAGAAAGACTAACACTTCACTCTGTAAATGTGTTCTGCAACTGTCCAGAAAGGTGCTACAATATCTTTCTAAATGAACAAAAATGCTAGTATTTATGGAGCAACTAAACAAACTATATGTAAAATCTTAAAGAACTGTATGTAAAATCCTTAAAGAACTTAAAGAAGTGGAAATACCCTCTACAACACATCAAACAATCTGAATAATGTTTTCAAATGTCTCTTCCATGTAGAGATTCTTGTTTTGTGGGAGAGTGCTTTTTAGTACTGTTTTGGTTAAGGTTTTAGTTTTGCTGTTTTTTATTTTTAAATGTATATGGTATTGGATATTTATACTCCAGAACACAAAATAATTTGGAACTTGCAAAAATCCTGAACGCCCAGGGGAGTTCAGTACAGAGCTAGATGAGTTCTTGTATGTGTGACAGCAACCTTTTCTTTCGATCAGTGACCATCCTCTTCTCTAGTCTCTGGGCAACAGTACTAGATTGCAGGCAACACACTTTGTTAATCTGTAAACATCGGGTTCAACTTCAATTTCCATGCTCACGCTGGATTATTACACAGCCAACTTACTATCCAAGAGGTAGAAGACTGAATGGGGACCAAAGCCGCAGGGAGCTCAAGTCTGAACATAACACTCAGTATTCAACCTAGGCCAGGAGATGTGACACTTCTACCACTCCTAGCTGTACCTGTGATGAATGAGAACAGCAGCCTGTCTTCTGCAGCTACTGAATTCCCACAGCAGGGGAGATGGGCAGGAGAATGAAGAGGGCATTTCTCTTTTTCTCTCTCTGGTGTGCACACATTCACCACCATCATTCAAATACAGCTACTGTTTGGGTAAAAGGTCCTGTTGTATTATAAATGCCCATAAGAATTTATTCAAGGAACCTGGGTTAACAGTGATGAGAGTTAATAGTCCGTTCCCTGTTATGACTGTCGCTAATTGCTACTGCAATGCTGTATCACAAGTACATTGCTACAGAAACATAATGAATCAAACTTTCATACTGAAGGCATGCGTAATTACTGCATATAAAAATATGCAAGATTTGGGCTTATTTTTTTATGATAAGTAAAACCAGTTTCCTCTGGCAATACCTATTATGTATGGGCCAGATAATGTATTCTGTGCTGAGACACAACTGACTATCAGTAGGTACATGTCAAGTTTCAATCTGATATAGCACAATATAAGAGTCTGGAGAATATGTCTTATGAGGAGCGACTGAGGGAACTGGGCTTGTTTAGCCTTGAGAAGAGGAGGCTGAGAGGAGATCTGATCACTGCCTACAACTACCTGAAAGGAGGTTGTGGAGAAGTGGGTGTTGGTCTCTTCTCCCTAATGACAGATGATCGGACGAGGGGGCATGGACTCAAGCTGCGCCAGGGGAGGGTTAGATTGGATGTAAGGAAGAAGTTCTTCACCGAGAGGGTTATCACACACTGGAACAGGCTGCCCAGGGAGGTGGTGGAGTCACCGTCCCTGGATGTGTTTAAGAGACGGGTGGATGAGGTGCTGGAAGATATGGTTTAGTGGTGGACAGATACGGTTGGACTGGATGATCTCTAAGGTCTTTTCCAACCTAGTGATTCTATGATTCTATGATTCTATGATTCTAATATAAATACTTGCTCTGAAGAGATGACACCTTTGTTTTATTTAAGCCAAATGCTGGTGTTGAACAAAATGATTCATTAGTAAGATTATGATTTCAAGCAGAAACATTTCCCTGACAGAGTAACCAAATACTCAGTGCATCCCTTCTAACCTATAGAACAAATTCCGTGGAAGTGTCACAGGCTTAGCCTTTAATGAATCAGCAGCTTCTGTGCCAACAAGGACTACCTCTGACCTTGCCAAAGCCCTAGACACTGACAACAAGCGTCTTCAGGAAACGCAGAGATGATGTTATTTTTGGCTGCCGTTCTGTACAGTGATATCGCAGTGCTTGTATTCACGCTAATGCACCGAATGGCACCAGGTCACGCCTCATGCCTGAGAACCACGAGCAGAGCTGACAGGTTAATGAACCTCAACACATGCCTACCAGTAATACAAGTAGAACCATTTTCTGCTGACATTAAATAACTCCTTGTAGCATGTCTCACCGGTGTTCTGCTAACTTAAGCAAACATTTACTAGAGAGGGCTTTAGCCCCAATCCCCTTAGCTTTTGTTGACGCACCCCTCAGTATGACACAGCTCCTCATTTAAATCAGAGCCACACACACTGCTCTGCAGAGCTCTTCAGGAATTTCAGCCAGTTTCTGGTAGTTTACTTGAATATGCATACATTACAAATTAATTATACAGAAATATTGGCAAAAAATCAGCCCAGCAAGCATTAAAACACCATCCCGATTGACCTAGCAACCTTCTCTGAGACAACTGGTATGCTTAAAGGTTGTAGGAAGAATGTTTTTTATATTTAATGTCCCAAGACTGCTCATAGTTGTAACACTGCAAGAAATTACTTCACTGCAGCATGCTTGTGAAATAAGGTAATGAGGTTCTGTCAGTGGAAAAGGAGTTTCATTTCTAAGGGACTAAACAGCTCTGGGTGAATAACAAAAGACAGAGGTTTGTTCAAAAAGTCCGTCTGAATAACATCACAGGTTCACAATGCTTGTTCACTGTAGGACACAAATAATAGTTGGGTACAAACCAGCAATTTGAGCACTTCATTTTTTGGAATGCTCAACATTTTATAGCACCATTCAGAGCTACCCAAAACTCTGTGATGTGAAGGATTCAGTCTTGCAGGCCAGAATTCAAGTTTCTTAACCTTAACACCCTCTGATACGGCTCTGCAATATTCCACCCATTTAAGTTACAACATCACTCTCTATGGGAATCCCCTTCTTCCTTAACCATACCTCACCTTTGGTAACTTTGTTCATCTTACATCATCCCGCATCGGCACACAATAAAAGACAGTATGAGCGCAGATATGCACAGGCACTGTTAACGCTGGTGCTTCTGAACGTGCAGCCTGGACATCTATGAGCTTCTCTGCTACCTATGACATTCTTTTAACACAGTTTTTGTGTGTGTAAGTTCCTCCTTGCACCAACTTCATCAGACCTGGCTTCAGAAAGACCCCTTTGTCTTGTCTTGTCTTTCCATTTCTTTGTCATTGTATTTTTCAGCTGCCCCTCCTCCTGCTATGCAATTTGTGAGCAACCTCAGCTTAGACTACCTACTGCCAGAGCAATGTGGTCACACCACATCAAACCATGGAAATCTTACAGCTGGGCAATGCAAATGACCCTGGAGCAGGCCAGGGAGTATGTTGTGCTTTAGCTTGCTCTTGGCTTCCCTGCCTAAAGATGGTATCATTTCCTTCCCTCTCTACTCTGAGACACGTGCTGACTCTGCGGAGAATGTTGCTGAGCTGTGGAATGAAGTTGTTGTTCTTCCTTTCCTTTTTCCTCCTCTATATAGCAAAAAGAAAAAAAATATCCTTCAGATATGAGAAAGCTTGCAGCCAAATGTCAAACTCTTCACTTTGAGCAGAGAGACTTCAAATTTTTCCATAGAATGACTGCAAATTAGTCTCCCTCTCAGAAATGGCTGGACAGTCTCTGTGGAGAAGTTCAGAGTAAATAAATAAAATGAAATGCTTCTCGGGCAACTATTCAGCACAGAACATTTCATCCCAGATACTTTGGCACAGGAAACTGAAACAGGGTCATCTTCTGGAAAGTGTCAAGCTACGGGCTTCACCTTTAATTAGTGTAGCATAACTTCTGTACTTTACAATGATAAATGTGGCAGACTGAGGACATACCGCATGAACAGTGCCTACTCTGTCATATAAAATCAGGCAATTGTTCTAATGCGCAATGAGAACTAGTCACTTAGTTGGCATACTACAGCTTTTTGAGGAGAAGCTTCCCAAAGTATTTGTAAGTCTCTCTTGCTATGTTTTTAATTTTTCAAAAACAATTAAAAAAATTATGACAAGGAAAGAAGTAGTAAGTAGAGAATAACTTCAAAAATACACAACTCTCAGTATTTGAGCTTCTAAATTAGCTACATTAGTTACGTCAGTATCTGTTCATGGCATTAAATATATGGATTCTATTTGTACATACTGACTGGCCAGTTAACTTTGTATGTATGCCTACAAACCCTGCAAATGCAACTTTCAAAGAATTTTATGGAACTGAAATTCCTAATTCTTATCACAACCTAAATCTCTCTCCATCCTAACTTTGCCTTTTAAGGCATTTAAGTTCTGACCAGACTTAAACCAGACTAAAACATGTGACAAACTTCCAATGACTCTTAAAACTGGTTTTCCCTTTTATTAAAAAATAACCAAAATTGAAAATATCACAGCAATCTCTAAACACTGCCTCCAGAAGTGAGAACAACAAAGCAGTTCCACACCTGAGCCCTTCATCCTTTTGCATCCAGGAACTAAAGAGAGGACACTTCCTTTCATATTTGAAGTCTCCCCCACCTACCCTCATATCCATGAACATGCTGGTATTATCACATATTGCTCAGGACATTAGTGGTTTCTGGCATTTACTGGTGAGGTGCTTCCTTTCATAAAAACCAACGTGAAAAAGTGGCAGGTGATCCCTCAAGTGATCATGTATGTAAGCAGAATTCCAGTGAAAGCTTTGGGCAAAAGCAAAGGCTTAACAAACAAA